ATTGGGAACTTGCTACAAGAATACTATACTTTAAGTGTTCTGCTAAAAATGATAGTGAGGTAATACATGTATTATGAAATCTTGATTCAACCTTCTATATATCTATCCAACCATGTTCTACACCATAAACATATTCAATTGTTACTCATCAATTTTTTAAAAAGGAATAAAAAACACTACAATTGCCTAACCACGAAGCAGGCTAGAACATTTTTTTTTCAAATTAAAACTAAGAAAGGTACATAAAAAAGTCCCACCTGTTTAAAATTGGTAACTGCTTTAATAACAGGAGAAGCTGTGACCAGGAGAATCTCTTCTGATGGAAAGCTAACAGCCAACTTATTTTTAAAGAGAGAAAAATATCACAATGAATGTTAGGTATTGCTCTAAAATTTAGTGTGGGAGAACGTACAATGAAATTGTAGTAACATTATTAACCTAGAAAATCTAAAACTGATTTGTGTGTCATATAAAGGTCTGTATTATTGGGGGTCTTGTTCATATTTACAGAGGACTAGTGACTAAGGTTAAACTCATATACTGATAAAATGAATACATTTACACTTAACGTTAACAAAGGCTTCCGGAACAAGTAATACATAACAGTATCCTTTAAATTATTTTGTATGCCAACTTAAAGTTATCATAAAGATAAAAAATTACCTTTCTAAGCAATCATTAAAACACATATTTGTTAAAAATTTTTATTTTGCTATCAGTGGGGTAAAATAAAAGCAAATTCTTAATATTAACTCACATTACCAACCAAATAGTCTTGTGTCTAATTCTAGTATTTCTCTGAATCTAAACAAGTTCATGTCACCTACAAACTCTTAAAATCCGTAAGATTTCTTTTCTTATCCTAATTGAATTTTCTATTAACATTTGAAATATTGGGCCAGGGATATGGCTCAGTACAATAAGTATTTGCCTGGCAAGTGCAAGGGCCTGAGTTCAATCCCAGGTTCCAGAAAAAACAAACAAACAAACAAACAAACAAACAAAACAACATTTAAAATATTACCTGTCCATCTTTGTATGTTCTGCAATTTATCTCGCTTTTATTTCCCTTATTTGGCCATATTTATAAAGCTTTTTAATATTTGAAATCACCTTCAAATTGGCCTTCTAATCTCAGAAGCATTATTAAGCCGCTGCCACAGCCCCAAAAACCATAATCATCTTTCAAATCATTTCACTGGATTACATTTTTCCACTGCATAATATCCTGAGATTTGAGCAGGGTAAATAGCTCAGAGGTCTAAGCGCCTGCCTGGCAAGTACAAGGACTTGAGTTCAAGTTCCGTGGTATTGCATGCCACGCCAACCCTGGAACTGGACATGTGGCACAAGCCTGTAATGTCAGTGCTGGGGAGGTTGAGACAGGAGGATCACTATGAGTCTGAACTGCATAGCAAGACCCTGTATTAAATTAAAAGAATTTATTAAAAAAAAAACATGAGATTTGTAAGTTCTCGTCAATTTTTTTTTTTTTTTGGAACCGGTGATGGAACTCAAGCCCTTGCGCTTGCCAGGGAAGCGCTTATTCCACTGAGACGTCTCCCCGGCCCCTTCTTGTCAAATTTTTAACATGACTTAAAAGGCTCTTTATGACCTGATCTCTGCCAACCTTTGCTGATTACATCTCCTATAAAAGCTCAGGAGTATCAGGTGCTTTATTTTAAACTTTGCCGCTTCTAGATGGTGCTGCTATCCCACTAGAAAGTACACCGTCGACTCCCTCTGGAATGCCTTCTTAGCTTCTCATTCATTCTTTCATAGGAATATATGGATACCTCCAGAAAAGAGACCTTTTCTTTAATTAACTCCCAGTCCAACTCTACAGGGACTCCTAAGATTGATAATTAATGCACAAATTTGTGAACGTGAATCACCAGGAAAGCACAACCACGCTCTTTAAATGTGACTATAGTAATCAGAGCCCTCCATAAGGCCCCCGGATTGCAGATGTTTACTTGACAAACAGAAATCATACATCTGAAAATCCAAATATTAAAAAAAAAAAAATTCATTCACTACTCCTTAAAACCAGTAAGTGCTTGTTTGCATCCACAAAATATTGCGGTCTTTTGGGGGGTTCTGGCATACACATAATATGAATATATACATTGCAGAAAAGCATTTCCTAGTTTTACTTAAGGATTTGCTGGTGCAGTTATGAAACACTGCTAAAGATGACGCTTCTTCTGAGGAGTTTAAAGTTCAAAAATTTATGCAAGTGTTTCTGCCGACTGGTTACGATGTACTAAGGAAGGATCTGGTCCCTCTTTAGAATTCAATGGCGAAGGTAATTTAAAAAGTGCGCAGAGTCCCTGGTCCGTCCGGCACGGTCAGGACCAGATCCTGGGCACGCCCGCTTCGGTTTCCTCGCTGTCGCTCCCCCAGCTACAGCGCCTGCACCTGCTACGGAGCTCCGCGAAGAAGCCACGACCGCACCCGCCCCGCCGCGCAGCTGCGGGCTCCCAGAGCCCACCGCGGGGAGCGAGGGGCGTGGCCAAGCGGAACGGAAGCGCGGCGCGAGGGGTCGCGCGCGAGGGCCTCGGAGCCTCCGCTTCTGGGGCGCAGCTCGCCCTACCTGCTCCGCACAGGTGACGCCCGCGATGCCGCCGCCCACCACCACGAACTTTCCCATCGTGGGACGCCGCCGCGCGGCCTCGATGCTCTCGAATCCCAGAGGTTTACTGAGCACGGTGGGGAGCTACGGAGTAAGCGCTCCCAGAAAGGAAGCCGCAGCCTGCGGCCACTTCCGGTGCCTGATCCAAAGACGCCGACCTACGGGTGCCCGGAGGTTCATAGTTCTTGCGTATCCTACGTCATACCCTGGGCTGCTCTTCACAGGCGCAGAGGCAGGGCGTCTTAGCTTCGGGGCTTTACGTTGTGATTATTTACCGGAATGATGTTTTCCCACGACGGTTTGATAAAAGGTAGACTAAGACCAAAAAGAAAAAAGAAAAAGGAATTGCTTAAAGGTGAATTGTTTTGAAGTTTTCACTTGGCTTCTTTCAGAGGAGATATAGGGTAATGTCTTCCTTAAATTCTTAGTGCTTGAAGGATCAGTCAAGGAAACGTGTTCTGCAGCCCTTGTCACTTCTCATCTCACAACTGTATTTTTTTTTACATTTGTGTAAGGACATTTTTTTGTTTTGTTTTTAACTTTATTGAGAAAGAAATAGTGAGACACTTTCAAAACAAGTTAGTAGGACAGTTACAGTAATACATTGCACATTGTCTTCTTAGTACTTATTCATAGTACAAGATGCATACATGATATCTTGTCTAAACACTATTAGTACATATCTTCTTTTTTTTGTTTTTAATTTTATTGAGAAGGACATAGCAATGTGTAAGGACATTCTTTATGACAAGGCAATGCAATACTACTGAATATTTCCTTAAGAAGCATGTCCAGTTGCTACTTTGAGCTCTGTTACAACTTTTAGTCGCTGATTATCTTGTTAAATTTTTCTTAAGGTTTCCAGTAAATAACATACTGAAAACAGTGTTCTTAATACTAATTTTACTGGTTTTTTTTTTTTTCTTTTGGTGGGGGGGGGAAGGTTTACAGGATGTTCAGGGTCTACTACTAGATCAGACTCAGTGTTTTTCTTCTTTACAGCCTCCCAAGTGCTGAGATTACAGGCACAGTCCGCTACAGCCCAGTCCAGTCTCCATTGCCCTCTCAGCACGCCCCGGGGGCGGGGCCGGCACAGCTGGCCCTGAGATCACCCCCTCCCCCCAGCGGCTCTTGCTTGCAGGAGTTTTAATCTGCTGAGCTATTTGGCCAGCCCTTAATTTTACTGTTAATACAAGTTTTTGTGTCACTTATTTGCTCGGAGAAATAATTAAATTTAAGGACAGGTTTTGTTGTTTCATTATACCTTTCCTAAGAATAATACTGTAACCTGAAGGTACTGTTTTTCAAATGGATCACTTAAACTCGTAGTTACTGATGCCCTTCTTTAAACTCCGAGGATAAACATTCTGTGTAAAAATGGAAAAGATGTTTTGTGAATACCTGTAACATTCATTGTGCTTTTATTTACTAAGATAAATGGTAAGCAATTCAATAAGTGATTCTATTTGCTGTTTTTAGTTTAGACAGAATATTTCTAGGAGAAAATAGTTGTTTAAACCCATTGGGGTCTAATCTTCCATTTCCGGTTTACTTCACACGGCATCGTGTGCTCCATTTAGATTGAACTTCCATTTCACACTCACGATACATCATTTTCTTTGGGCATTTGCACATACACTTTGACCTACTACTTTTCTTTAGCTAATTCTTCATTGGTCTATAGTTTAATCAAGCTGTTAGTTCCCCTAAATAGCTTTGTATTTAATATCCTCAAGACTAAACAGTATGTTTTCTGTAGTCCCACAACACCTTGTCATCTCCAGAATTTATCCTTGACCCACTTTACTATTCTATTTCACCACCATCATAAACTCTTTAATCTCAGGGATTATTTCTCTCTCTCTCTCTTTGGATCTGCAATGTTTAGCAGCGGGTGTTAAACAAAAATTAGGAAGTAGGTGGAATATGAGGCTGCTCTGAAGGCTTTTTTAAAAAAATATTTTTATTGAGAAACAAATAGCAATGAGACAGTTTCACAACTGATTAATAGTACATTTTCAATAATTAATACATTGCATATTGTTGTCTTAGTGGTTATTCATTGTGAAGCCTTTTTAAAGACTTTCTGATTCATACTCTAAAGTCAAGAACCTTTTGCATGTAATTACAACTGTTTCCCATTATTGAGATCAAAGAGCCTGCAACTCAAACTCCAGAAAATGGAAGCTGCTACCACAGTTGCAGATGTGAGAGAAGCCAAGCAGTTGGAAACTCGTCTCCCAAACACAAAGGAATGGTAACACAACCCCCTTTTCTCTTTCCTCCTTTGACATCTGGCTTTTGTCAAGGAGATGTAGTGATAAGATCTGCCTGGATATTTAACATTTAGAAATTTCTAAATATAAAGGGACTTTCAGGGAAGCACACTAAGAAAGAGTTCCAAGTGTATCTTAGTGTGCATTGGTTTAATTAGAAAAGAATACTTGGTGTAAAGTGAGATTTCCTGAACTGTGAAACACGATCTCAAGAGGGTGGTGATGGTAAGGGCTGGAGAAAGAACAAAGCAGACATAACAACTGCTAGGATAAAGGCTTGAAGTTAAGAAGCAGCAAAGAAACAAGAGAATGGCTGCTGCTTTTTTTTTTTAACCTGTAGCTGGGAAGCTTTGGAATGGATGGGTGCACAACTTGATGTATGTTTCTGAGGGTCAAGGAAAGACCAGTGTGTTGCAAAATATTACGGAGTGTATTCATTGGTGGGAAAGAATCGTGGGGAGGAGCAGACAAAGCTTCATAAAGGTGGCGAACATTCTAAACCTCAGAAGCCCAATAACATTTGGATGCATGCAGAAGAACAAGAAGAATTCCAAGAAAAAGGGCTGACCATATAGCTCAGCAGATTAAAGCACCTGCTTAGGTAGATGCAGCGGCTAAGGTTCCATCTCCTGCATGCCGTGCCAGCCCTGCCCCCAGAATGCACTGAGTCAGCTATCAAGACTGGGCATGATGTCACACGCCTGTAAGCCCAGTGCTCAGGAGGCTGAAAACAGGAGGATAGTTATGAGTCCAATCTATATAGTGAGACCCTGTATACCCTATAGTAAATACATAAAAAGAAAAAAGAAAGAATTCCAAGAAAGAAAGATCTCAAGAATTAAGGCTGTGTCAGAAATGAGCATGAAAATGCAGAAGACAGTAAAAAGGGATTAGGGGTTTAGGGGATTAAGAAATCATCTGAAGAAACTAAGGGCAATACAAACATTTTCTGTTTACTCCCTTAATTTTCTCATACCTGATTTATAGTCCCACATTTTCTCTGGCAGGTCTAATTTTTCAGTTATCAAGTTAAATTTAGCTTTACATTTTTTACCAACTTAATTTCATTAGTGTTCCAAAGAAGAATATTTAATTTTCTTGAGCTGCTTGATCAAAAATGGAGAAAAAACAGTGATATTTCAGAGAATAATGATTACCAACTTTGAGACAGATGAGTGAGTTTGAAACAACATCCTTTCCTTGCTATGTGACCTTTCAGTGAGTGAGTTACAGTGTTTGAGCTTAGCTTCTTCCATGGTAGTGTAGCAATAACTAGAGTTGTTTTGATGGGTATGAGTTAACATTTAAACTCCCTAACATATTGTACCACCTAGTGAGATTAGTAGTTGTTAGGTACTGTTGAATAATCTCTGTCTTTGA